CTTTCCATATAAAGAAAGATGGAAATTTTTTGATTCCTCCAGCAGAGACATTTCATTAATGATAGCATCGATAGTGTCTATCAAATCAGGTGAGCCAACAACATCAAGGAATCTGAGTGATGAAATAACATGAGAGAAGTTGTTAAGTGTCTTTACTGTAATAAAAATAAAATCCAAAAGAAAAGAAGAGAAAAAACAGATATTTGACAAGAACCTTTTAACAGTAGCTTTAGTAAACCATTCGACATCATGCAGATTTTCAGGTAACTTCAAGTCAAAGTTTGCATCTAATCCCTTCACACACAAATCATTTATTCCAGGTAAATGAAGTGACAAGTGTTCCAAAAGCCCTGTCGCTACTTTCTCCAATTGTTCCTCCATATAAACAAATGCTTCATACCTGGACCACCACCAATGAGAAGAGTAGAGAACCAGCAAAAGTCCAAAAAATGTGAAGTTCACATGACTGAGAACAAATTGGCTCCCACAACTCAATGCACAAAAGAATTACTTAAGGAAGAAACAACGAACAAGGAAATCCTAATTATATGAATAGAAAACATTATTGCAATGACTATGGAATTTTTCAAATTCCATGTCTGCGGCAGAGGACTTGGGCAGTCAGACAAGTATTTGGCAAGTCGACTTTAAACACAAATTAAAATCCATATTTTATAGATTGGATTTTTATTAAAAAAAAATAAAGATTATATTATTAAAACACAAGTTAGATTTATATTTGAATGAAACAACAAAGCTTTTGATGCTTAAGAAACGTTAGTTATTCTCAAGCTTTATTTGGGCATTAAGAGTGATGTTAGCTATGCAGCTTGTGTGCTTGGGTCTGGCCTTTGGAGACCTTTACGCCAATACTCCCAAAATAAAACCAATATTCTGACCAAGGAAACAAGGCGATCAATAGTGTATGATATTATTTCTCCAAATCCATGGGCCTATTCCAAGTGTTTAATTCAAAGAGATCAATTTCACAGTAGTAATCAAATGCTACTCTAGGATTGTCACTCTACAAAGATAATGTTAAAATTAGTTCTTGCAACAAAATTTGCTTCAACCTTAAGCCTAATTTTATCTCCATTCAGCATCAAAGCTAACCTGTTTTGGTTGGGAAAAATCTGAATTGAAGCAGAATCTAATGGAACATCACCAGCTAATGCATCACCCATTACAAATTGCTTAGATCAAAATCCAAGGAACTTGAACCTGAGAAAAGCAGGAAAAAAATATTTAGATTGAGCCATGGATTAAATGCCACCCTGAAACAATACAAGATATTTCAACTGGAAGACAAAAGTTATACAGTGTGAGTCCTATTGGATTTTAAAAGTCTGCCCGTAACTCAAGCACAAACGAGCTAGAATTAATTTCAATTTACATGTTGAGAAACTCGAGTAATTTCATCATCACAATCTAGAAACAAAGCATTGAAAGACTTGTACAAATTTAAGAGGCATACACAGTCGAAGAGCAGAGAGATTTTCCAAGTCATATATAACCAACGCGTATAAGAAATTTCTTTCATTTATGCTACTGAGGGAGGCAAAATAAGCTTAGAATTGTAATAAGTTTTTCAAAATGACCAAACTATTCTAATATACAAACTGTTGATTAGCCTGAGCAACTTTTATTAGAATGCTACGGGAAAAAAAAAATTTATATAAACAAAAACCACCAGAAATGTTCGTTTTGAAAATATAATGAAGTAGAAAATCAAACGAGCAAAGAAGGGGGGGGGGGGAAGCGAACCAAAAAAGCTTGCACTACCTACAGATTTCAGTGCACCCAGCATGAAGTCAATAACAAATTGGCAACAGGGTAAAATCCAAATGTAGTCAAAGAACATAGCTAGTTTGGAAAAATGTGACGCAAACTCAGATTTTGTGACTTCATAATCAGAAAATAATTCCCAGATCAAAAGAGCAAAGGGACGATAGTTAGGTATGCTCACAGTGAAATCAGATCTAGCATGTCACCAAACCGTCTAAATTTCGGAGACAAACCACATGTTGAGTGAGTTCTAGTGAAGCAAATAAGGAAGAAAATCTTGGGTTTCAAATCTGAAAGAGACCGCAGATTTGACAACGGATTACTCAAAGTCCGCTGATTTTTGAAGAATCCAAACTATTGCAACTTAAAGAATATTTACAAAATGACTAAGAAAGAATGCCCAATGGTTTCAAGGGGGAAAAAAAAACAAGAAAGAGACGAAGAAAAATCCGAAGAAATCTTCCAAAGTAGAAAACCAATGCAAGGAAATAATAGGCGAAAGGCCAGAACCTTTGAGCTGAGATCTGGAACGTATTACTCTGAGTGAATGCGGGAGTTAGAGATCTTCGAAATGCATCAGCGGAAGCGAGCGGCCCCCGAGCTCCAATTTGGTACAGTGTAAATGGCGAGCGCGAGGCATGAAGCGATGACTGACGAGAGGCGATTTAGTGAACGAAGAAAGACAAAGCGCGTCGACTTGCAAAAACTGGAAAGAATAGGACCGTGCTTGACTGACGCGTGACTATCACGCTCCAGGACCACGTGTGGTCCCCAACTGTTCTGTCGGTATTTTTTGGAAGAAAAAAAATCTTAATGAAATTGAGGTCATCCAATTTAATTGTTGTGTATCGATGTAATGTCTGTCCGTCTTGTATTTTGAAAGGTAGGAGAAATATCAACTTCATATCATATAAATAGAACCAACCAAAACTTTCAGCAGAACTCGGTGACATATACGTTTGCACAATTATAAAAATATCAAAGGAAGAAGGTGGATATTATTTGAAAGATGATGTTTTGTGATTTGGGGAACGCGTAATGGAGAAGGATTGAATTGGGAGGAAGAGACAACTGTGAGCGCGACCAATTGAAGGAGAAGGCGTGCATATTGGGATTGAACACATGTTTGGATTTGTAGGAACCCACATGCTGTCGGTAGTTTACGTGGGTGCATGTTCTCCGAAAGCGGAATGACACATACATTTTCGACAAAACACGAACCCGTCATTTTATTATATAGTTTATATAAAATAACCTCACAGCTTACAACCTCAGTAGCACATCCCTTTGCTGTCTGATCCAAATCTAAATCTAACTAATTAATGCACATACCCACACTCACACACTCTTGTGAGTCCCTGCACCAAAGCGAAAGGATCACACCAGCTCTTTTCAACTGCAACGTTTTCTTTTTTCTTTTTTTTGGGTAACTACTATGTTTATTTCAATGCATGCAATCATACATACAAACATGCACACATATACACATATACATGTAGTTAGATCAAATTGAACATTGATAGTTCCGTTGACATCAATAGCTATATCATTTGTGGAAGTATCATTTGTGACTATTATGAAATTGAATTAAAAACTTTTTTAAATATCTTAATTATTATCCCAACATTGTTGCTAAACTTATGAGCATTCTTAAAAGTTTTAATTTTTGATAGAATAATAAGTTGAATTTGAATAAAGTTCAAATCTACATTAAATTAAGCTCTCACACTTATTTAATGCAACTTCATGCAAAATCATCATCTCTCAAAATACCATCAATAAAATTAAGGACTAAATTACAAAAAATTAGATCATTACTTTCAACTATATTTTTTATGAATAGATACATAAGCTAATTTGTTCACCATGGGTCTCAAAACAATATTGCCACTATGACTTTTATAGAATCACCCCTAGGGTGTAGGAGCTTTATATGCTCTTATATGAACTAATTATCTTACACGATTTTCTATAGCTTTGTATTAAAAAATATGAGTGGCTAAATGCATGGCTTTGTATTTATAATATAATTTTGGAACGTTTATGTGTGTGCGCGCACACGCACGTATAGAACTTTTTTTCTTTAATAAAAAATATTAGAGATTATTTTTTTAAAAGTATTGAAAGTAAAAGAATAGACTTTGCCAATAACAAATTATCTTCCTTAAAATACACATGGTAAAGAATAAATATCTCTTAAGCCTTAACTAAGTTATTATACATGTAAGAAATGAAATTTAAACTTTCAATTACTTGTTTAAATAACAAGAACCCCTACCATTAACTTTAGTTTGTGAATATAAGTTATTCTTATTTCTTCTTACCATTTTTTCTGCCCAATAATTTCTTAATTATACCATTATATAAACAAACATTGATATTAGGAGAAAATGAAAAGGCACAATTCATAAAGAAAAACAATTAACTTCTCATCACTACATTTCACGAATTTCAAGATTTATCATGATTTATTTTTCACTCAAACTTGTTTAAAAACTAAAGAAAAATATAATCATCAATCCTTATAATTTTTATTGAATTCTGCTTTTAATTCTTATAATTTTTTTCAATATTTTAAGCCATTACAAAGATTAAAAATACTTAAAACTAAAACTATAAGAACTTAAAAAATTAACATTACCCAATCTTTATGAAATTATAAGGACAAAAAAAAAAAACTAAAAACAAAACTCGATGCAACTGTAAGGATTAAAGATTATGCTTTCTCAAAAACCAATAAGCAACTTATCTATAAATGCAGACGGACATGAATACCACTCTATCCTATTTAGGAACAACTTTGACAAGAACAAGATCTTGGAATAGTTTAAAGCACCTCCAGATCTTTCGGTTACCCTTTTCCCTGTACGAAATTGGTATGTGATGGCAAAGAGAGGTTCCATTGGTTGCATCACTGTTTTTGATGCCAAGCGGAAGCGGAAGCGTGTAGGTCAGCTTTTGCACTGAGACTATATAAGATCTGGCAGAATAGAAGCCATAGGAAGGGAAAAGTAGCATGGAACACAAAAGTAAATGGATTGAGGCACCAGAACATGAAGGTTGGCAAATCGTAAAGCTACCACGCTATTGATTGCGTTTCCTACCCTTTACCATTGCGGCACTTGCAATCCATGTGAAGTTCAACAGATTAGGCCACCACATGCCTCCACATGGGCAAGCCAAAAAAACAAATTAACTCAACAGGAACAGAAACGGAAGCAAAGAGGTAGAGTTACATTATTCACATACTTCACTCTAGAGGACCAGAGGCCGCTCCATAAAATGTAAAATAGATTACAGCAGAAGCAACATCTGGCACGAGAGTTACCAGCGTAGAATTTCACATAATACAGATATAGGTTGTCAACTGCTGGACAAACTTGCCTGAGACGTACATCACTAGGGGGGAAAAAAAGAATCATAAAAATATAAAAAGGGCCACTACTCCCACAAGTCGTCTTACAGCAGGCAAGGACAATCAACTCATCCATGGATTAAAGAGCAATTAGAAAGAGCAAGGCATTATTAGACTCAACAATGCATCAGTTAGACCATACATGAACCAGACCATGTCTATTGCCCGTATAGATCTCATTGCGCTCTTCATCATAGAAGAGGGCAGTAATATCTTCCAAGGCTTCAGCAACTGTGCTCCTAATTCTGGCGACATGCTTTCTCTTCCTTGAACGGCAACCCTTACTTGAACACTTGTCACAACAACCACATTCATTCTCCATGGGTGAGCTATTGCTTACTCTTATTTTAGCAAGACACTTGCCAGTTAAAATGTTGCTGACATTAATGGATCCTGCTGCATTAATAAAAAAGAGCCTGTTAGGTTCTCTACGATATCATATTTTGAATTTTGGCTTATACAGTAAGCATTTGACACATTTGGTTGGATCATCTTTCCCATCCAACGGTAAAGATACAATCCTCCGTTTCAAAATATTGCTCACTTTACTTTGCAGTTTGCTTTACAAAGAGTGCATTACAAGGGGAGGGGCCATGACAGAAAAAACAAATAGGAGGCCCAGAAAGAAAAGGAGAGTACCATTTCCTTCAGACAATGGATCATCAGAATCAGCCTTGCAGTATGATATAATGAGATCTTGGTCACTAGTTATATATATATTATTTGTATTGCAGTCAGGGTGCCACAAAAGGTGATCCTCAAAAGAAGTAACAAGCTCTCCGCGGAAATTCCAAACAGCCACAGTACGATTGCGAAAGGTCAGGAATAATTGGTTCTCATATAGAAATATAAATGCAGATGGTGTCATGAATTCACTTCTGCTAACTTCTGTTAACTCAAATGTCCGCACCTAAAATAAAAGTACAGGTCAGATATTTGCATGCAGATCAATGCACACGAGTCATGTAAAAGAATAATACTTACATCAAGAATTTGGAGATTCTCATTTTCTTGCTTGACAAGAAGTTTTTCATTAAATTGTTCGATGAAATCCACCTTCTTATTCCGATGAAGAAGGTGGTTGAACGATTTCAAAACAGTACCATCTTCAATTGAGAGGATTTTAAGTGGGACATGACTGCTTGCTTTATTAAAAATCAACAACATGATCCCTGGACTGATAAAGAAAATCATCAAAAAGAATACTGTAAGTACAAACTAAGACCACTCAAAGAAAAATGAAAAAAGATAGCTGATTTTTTAAAGAACAGCAAAAATCATGTAATATCTTAAACATTTGACCATGGCCACGTACAACCTCTACGGTAGTGACAAATGCAACTGCAAGTAAAGTTCACAAGTTCATAAAGAGAGAATACCTTATCTTAATCTCTTGAACATGTTTATCAGAAATGGAGTACAACATCGTATAATTTTTCAGATCAAACACCTTGTAGATGCTATATGGCCAAAAAGAAAAAAGCAAATGTTAGAATAAAGGAGTCAAAATAATTAAATATTTGCACAAGAATATCATGCAATAAAATATTTACTTATCCTGAGCAGAGAATGTGAGAACCTTCCCATTTACATCATCAAATTCAACAAAACCTGGCCACTTCAAAGACTCAGACTCAAAAAGAGCAAAGCCAGCATCTGGTTTACCCCTCCTTATGTACCTGGACAACCAAAAAAGTATCAGATAAAGAAACTGCATATACAAGATACACAAGCAATAGCTTCCATTTGCAGTTCTTTCAGTTATTATGTGTGTGCTAATGAATCCCAAGGTCTTACCCCTCCTTTACCGTTGGGCATGGGGAAAAATAGAGGTATTTTCAAATCAATCAAAAAGAGATATACATACTCAATTCTCGTGCTTCTGCATTTCAAAGAACTGTAACTGTCTGAAGCATAAACAGAAACTGTAATAAGTGAGTCATTGTTCTTATTATAGAACAGACTCCTTATAACTTCATCTGGACTCACGTTCAAGAAGCAAATCCTTTGATTAGTTTCTGCAACAAAAATAAAATAAAATAAAGCATGCAAAATGTATCATACATCAACTTTCAGATGCAAATAGAATTGAACAGCAAATTTAGATATCATAACACATAAGTACTAGTCATACCTCGACTAAATGCTGCACAAACACCAGACTGTGCAAGAGCAAAAACTATGTCCTGTGCTGCCACAATCTCAATAATTTTTGATCTCTTTCTCAGGAAAGGCAGCACCACAGAAGAAGGACCTTTTGCATCATGCGTATCGTATTCTTCCTGTGAACAGACGCATTGGAGATCAGATATACCACAAGTAAGGTAGAAAATGAGCATAGCTATAGCGAAGCACACATCTCCCTAAAACACGGGAAGAACAGAAGATTCATCAATTAAAATAGAGCAAACATCATACTGCACCACTGGATACTTAAAACAGCGAAAGCCACACGAATAAGCAAAAGAAGTTCCTGAAGAAGGCCCAAATAATTCCACCAGCACATCACAAATATATTCTGCTTATATATAACTCATTTGCAAATCACGATCAGCACAAGCAAACAAGCACATGCTTTAATGTTCCACTTTATCCAATTTCATCAGGAGGTCCACCAATCTCATTATCCAATTTCATATTGTATTTTCCCAACCATTCTCACCCCTATCAAGCCAAAGTTAAAACTCAAGCTAATTGAAACAAAATTGCCTTGAAGTTAAACTGTTCAGTTCCGAGCAATTAACTTAATAAATTCATCAAGCGTATTGTCCAGCAAGTTCGTACTAAAATATTTATTCGACAAGTTAATACTACTTCAATACCAAGACTTTCAGAACAAAGTCGGAAGTAGGGGAAATTATGTATGTCAAAAAATAGAAAATAGAAAGCAAAAGATCACGTTAGGGTAACCGAACCTGCAAGCGGATGTTGCGAAATCTCTCTTGAGCATCGCTCATACTGAAAGCTCTATCACGCTTCGAGCTAATTTCACGCCTCTGAAGCTTCTTCACGCTGTTGACAAACCCATCAACTCCCCCACCTCGACGCTGTCTCTTCTTCGCTACTACTCTGCGACCACTGCAAGGCCTAGGGCTCACCGTGATCCTTCTTCCACCATCCATGGCACCCTCTTCAAAACATCCAACTTCAATTCGAACCCCAAGTTTGCACTCCCCGTGAGTTCGACCTACACAGTATTTTTTTGCGAAGGACTAACTCTGCTGCTGCATCCACTACCCAGCTAACGTCCTTCGCAGAAAACCCTAATTCCTTCGACCTCGAAAGGAAACGGAAGTGAAGACCTTGAACACTAAGGTTTCCGGAACTAACATCAATTTCTCAGTGACAATGATTGGGGGAAAAAGGAGAAAGAAACTGAAAATCAAGTCCAATAAGAGAGAGAGGGGAGAGTGAAATTTCAAGGGGCGTCATCGAGTTCGATCCCGTTTCAAATTCAGAATTTGGGATCTGGAATTTAAAGAAAATATGAAAAATAATAATAATAATAATAATAATAAACCAACGTCACAAGGCAAGGGTAAATACTAAATTCGAGATTTGATTTAATTTAAAGTTTCTTAATAAGCCCACATACTACCTTGGGCTTATCTTTTCTATACTAAATTAGGGCCCAAGTTGACCAAAAACACGAAGGCCCAAGGTAAAACCTAACAGCGTTGCAACTCTAATTAAAAAAATCGTGCAACTTATTATTATCTAGGAAAATTAAAATAAACAATTTCAATATAAAAAAAAATTTGTGTAGTTCATAATCATGTCAATGATAAAATATTTTAACGAAAATATAACTTATTTTTAAAATTATTTTAAGATATTTTAAATTTTTTGTTAAATCCTTTAAAAATAAGCATAATATAAAAGAATTCATGTTTCTGTTTGTTTTGATAGGCTACTTTAAGTAACTTATTTTAAATAAAATTTAATGGATGAAGAGAAGATAAATAAATAAAAACGAGCTTACGGAAATCAGAAGATTTTGATAATATTTTATTTTTTATAAATCATATAATATTATATTTTTCTGATTAATTTTTATTTCATGACAGATAGCATTTTTATATTTTTATCCCAAAAAAAATAAAAATGAAAAAAAAATTGCTTTCCATACAATCTCTGAAAAATAAATCACCTTTTTCAATGATTTGAAAGTCACTTATATTAAAATCTTATATGACAATATCTACAATAAACTATATATTGTTTATAAGACGAAAACATAATATAACTTGTTTTTCAAATTTTGTAAAGCACACCAAAGTAAATAAATATGACTTGCAGTTTTTATGTCATTATCGTTATGTTTTTAATATCTTTTGAAACTCCTTGGAGTCTAAATAATAAGTATGAGGTGACATTATTCATGGCCCATGCATTGCAGACATTATGTACAAAGTTTGAACGGAGAAAAAAGTTAACATACGAGCTGGCCTAATTTTGGATGATATTTACGTCCTGACTCGTGTTATTAGAGTAGCATATCTTCATCGTCCTCTTGTTTTGCAAAAAATCTAGGCTTTCACGTATAGAGTTTTTTTTTTTTTTTTTGTCAAACTTTCTTCACATCTTTCTGCGTGCTCGTTTCACTTGGACTGACTAAAACTTGTAAAATAGATTTTTTTTAGTTTATTAATGATCTATAAAATAATAAATTATAATATATATTCATTCAATAAATATATATTGAGGTGAATATCTTTATATAAAAAATTACTGTGCATAAAGATTATATAAAATATCGATATCAAGAGAGTGATCTGAAAAGTAAATAAAACTTGGAGCCTGTTTGGATATGCTTCTGGAATTGATTGAATGTACTAAAGTCGTAGTTTTACTAAAACTACCTAAAGACTCTCATTTTTATATAATCGATTATTTTGACTCAGACCACGATTTGGCTTAAGCAAGAAAGAGTAGTTTCCAATGATCGATTATGTCTGTTGGAGCAAATGTTGTCGGTGAGAATTTTTATTCTATCAAATAATTAGACCATCAATTGTGTGCAATATGTGAATACTTCTGCCATCACTTCTCTTTATCCTTGCCAAAAAGGGAAGACTACTCTTTGCCACGACCTCCATTTATTATTTGCTGCAACCTCGTCTCCTCCGATCAACGTCTTCCATCTCCAATTTGCAACTGTTGTCTGAGTTCATCAGCATGCGTCTCCTTCCTCGCAAGTCATTCTCCGCTGTTTTCCCCGTCAAAGCCCGTATGGTACGACGTCCTCTCCTTCCACTGTGTGTTCTCTGTCGTCTTCCTTCAACTTTTTATGGTTTGATTCAGTGGTTCTCTTCCTTTTTATGGTTCGACATCCTCTGCACCATGAGAATAATATCATATAATTTTTTATTACAATATAATATAATATTAATATAGACAATAAAAATTATATTACAATATAATATAGTTTAAATTTTTATTACTAATCATAATATACTTGTTAAAACTTAAATCTAGTGCTCTTTATTATAATTTAAATATCTAAAATTGATTTTCACTACAATCATCCAACATATTTAAATTTATTAAAATCAATTTCAAAAAATAATATAAAAATATAATCATGTTATAACATTATCAATTATAATTAATTGTACCTAATTGAAATTTAAACACAAAGCTACTGACATGACCACATAACAGCCATAAACTTGCATGGAATGTTTTCCAATAATCATTTTTGTCAAGAATGATAACAATACATTGTTTGTCCAGCGGTTCTTGAAAAGTGAATGCTGGTAAGCCTCAAATCACAAGCCATTGTTGTCAATGCCAGCATGCCATCCATTAGTAATTGTCAATTCCCTGTTTGCATCCTCCAATTCTTCAAAGGACAATAATTTATATAGAGTAAGAAAAACTCGTCCAAGTACACCTAAAAGAACTAGAAATTGAGATCTTGATCCCCACTTTTTCTTTTTAGTCTTTACGGAGCAGATCCAAATACATGAAGCCATGTAGAATACTCCAATATTGTCATTTGTCAACTACAAAATAGATCCTCGCCTGCCTGTAAGGCACCACTTGACAAACTCAAAAGTCGTGATAAGTGGACCCCTAACGGCGCTTTCGGAAAAGTACTCCCCCCTCCTCAAAGCAACATATAGTCTTCCAAACAAGAATCACTACTGCGTTGGATTGGGAAATGTTTTTCTGAACCGATAACATAGGCCTCAAGTTTGAGCCTAAATGATTGGGCCTGCATGTGAGGTTTGTTTTTTTTTTTTTTACCCTTAAGTCAGGCTTGAGTTTATGATGAGTCTTGACTGTACTTCATATGTGGACGTTTAAAAAAAGCTTTTGAATTTAGGTTTCAAAATCTTTAAGCAAACTTCAAACCTATCAAAATTTACTTTATGTAGTTTTTTAAACCTATATATTTTAAATTTTAAATAAATTTCAAGGCTTCTTAAACCTAGCTTATTTATAAAGAGGCCAGATCCCAACCAAGCCCACCTGTAGCACCCGATCTATTCTCACTCTTGTTGCCTATGTTCTATCAAACAATATATAATGACACCAGATCTCTTTGAATTGGACAGATTTTAGTTTCATTTGGGGAAAAAAATATACTTTTTGCTTCTACCTTTACTCAAGATTTTTATTTAATTTGGTCCTTAATTTTATAAATTATTTCTTTAGTACTCTGCCACTAACAATAAAATGAGCTCAACCTTTTTTAATCACTTTCTCGTTGTCTTCCTGTTCCCATCTCGTATAAGCAAGAACCTTACATTACTGTCTAGTCACTTTGCTCTCTATGGGGAAATTCTGGATTGAGGTGTGCTTGATATCTGCAAGGGGCTTGCAACGTTCAGTCTCTCTTTGGAAGCGTCATTGGTATGCCGTTGGCTGGGTTGATCCTAAATCTAAGTTCTGCACCAAAATTGATGCTTCTGGGAATGCGAATCCTGTTTGGAGAACAAAGTTCTCTTTTCTGCTTGATGATGACTCTGAGCAGAGCCTCCAAGATCTGGTACTTAACGTCCAAGTTTTCAGCAGAGACCCCATTTTTCTCACGGAAAAGCTTCAAGGTTCTGCGACTATTATGCTCAAAGAGTTCATCGCCAAGCATGTGAAGAACTCCGAGACTACGAGGTCTGCAGGAAATGAGGAACTAGGGAGCTACCAGTTGCGAAAGAAGAAATCCAGCAAGCCACGGGGGTTCATTGATATTTCAATTCGTATCTCCGACGACAAGGAAGAGCCAAATATGTTCCAAGGTATATGAACATTTCAAAAAACCTATGTTAAAAATACAATCTCGTCAGCATCTACTTGTCTTGCTCGCATCAACTTTTAATCGTCACTGTATCTGAAACATAACGGTAGAGTTCTGCAAATGCGGATGTGGAGCTAGTAAGAAGTCTTACACAGATCATGGTACTTTAACCAATAATATTGGAATTCGATATTTTTATCGCCCTTAAGTTCACCCGAAAAAGAAATCTGGTCCTGCAAGCTGCAACTTTACGTTTTTTAGCTAGAGCAGTTTCTGCCATGTATCATCTTCCTCATTTCCATTCTTTCTTGGGTCTCCTATTTCGCCAGCTCTATCAATATTTGGGATGACACAACTGACTGAAGTAATTTCAATTTTGAGTATGAATTTTCTCAACGTAATTTGAAGCTATAAGCTTGACGTTGTAGGTAACGAGGGAGGAATCTTTCTCCTGGATCCTGGAAGAAACACTAACATGACCCCCCCAGGTGGATTAGAGCAACCCCATCGGCAACAGCAAGTGCCTCTAGCAACAATTCATCGGCCAGAAAATCTCCAACAGCCAAGCATGTCCTCATATCCAAAGCCACATCCTTCAAACTATCCCAATCCATATGTGGGAGGACCAAGTTACTATGCACCAGCTGGACCAAGCTATCAACCACCTCCACCTTCACAAGTGGGATATAATCCCACTATGTTCCCAGGAACTGAGTTCATCAACATGCCATCATCATCTGGGGCTGGTCCTGCTGCACAGAGGGGAGGAGTACCTGCTGGTTTTGCAATAGGGGCAGGAGCTGGAGCATTGGCAGCTGGTGCTGTTATGTTTGGTGGTGACTTCATGCCAGCGGCACACAATCTTCCACATGGGCTTGGGGATGCTAGCGTTACCATAGCCACTGATCCTCTTTTCTGAAAAAGCATTCACTAGATAAATAATGTATAACCATATATGGCCATTCCGTTAACATTCTCCTTTCCGAAGGGTTTCCGTCTGTTTTTTCTTGTGCTTTGTAATCAGCAATGCCCGCTTTTAATGGGAAATAGCCAGTTTTGATAGCGTCATACATAATACACTGGCACAGTGCTAACCATTGGCATTTAAGGAATGTTTTGAAGTTAAGAAGAAAGTTGATAAAGGCTTGTAATACGCACACACAAATGAACACAATCTGTGTTGCATCAGAGATCGAGTAGATTCAATGATTTGCACAAATCTTGTTGCAGACTAACAAGCTGCAGAAATCATAGGGTACTTTTTCCCCAGTACTTACAAAATGATAAAATAGGGTGAAAATTACAACCTTTTTTTTATTTTTTTGCTTATACACTACTTTCCACAACTCAAACTTCTCAATAGCTGTACAGAGATCATCATGATTGCTGGATTAAATATGAGCGGCTATCATCACATATGAATTCTATGAGTTTACTGCGATCCAGGGGCATAATTAATCTGCCTTATCGTTCAGCCTTCTAGAGATCTTCAATGAAGTAAAATGGGACGCTTGAGCAGTAGGAATTTCATTTTACAGGTTGCAGATTATGCTCATTTGAATAAGTATCAACTAATCTTCGCAGGAACTTCTCCACAGCAGAAATGAACTCCTCAACTTTTTCTTCATGGGGCAGATGGCCACATTGCTTAATTACTTCAAGGGATGATCCTGGAATGACTCCTGCAAGTCTCTTAGCATTCCATGAAGGAACTAGCCGGTCACTATCACCAGTGACAATCAGAACTGTTTTTTTTTTTTAAATTAAAAAAAAATCACCAATCATGCTCAGCATTCAACTCAGGGCAAAAGTAGAATAGGTTGTTACTTGTGTGTGTGTGTGTGTGTGTGTGTGTAAAACTCATTATTCACCATATATTCCCCAAGAAAAACCAGCCAGCTAAAAATCCAAAGTTCATAGAATGTAATATATCTTTTAAGATTGATTAACAGTTTCCAATTCAACTCACGTTGTAATCCCAATTTGATCCGAAGTCTTCACACAAGTGTCCACAGGATTGATCTAAAAATGAAAATACATCTTGGCAAATCCCCAAAGATAGCATAAACAGATCAACCTATTCATTGTTACCGTAAATTACGCAGCATAACCAATTATAAATGGCATTATCATATATTCATGTCCATATCCAAATTGCTACCTTCTCTGATCAGCTAATTGAAAACAAAGCTCGATCGATATATTGGGAAAAGGGGGGATGAAAAGCAGACATGCATGCATACATACAAATACATATACAGATGGAAATTCAAGGTTTAATAATATTCTGAGCTTACTTTCTTGAATAGCAATGAAATATATTTATAGAAGAAAAGAGATGTAGTCAAACACTCAATTAACTAACTATTTGCTAAAGCATGTTAAAACAGAATAAAATAAGCGGCTACTAAAAAGGCAAAAACATTATCTAGAAATCAACCTTAAAAAACAACAATGAGAAAAACAACAACATCCTACACAAACCAGCTAAAATATAGGGGACAAATAAATATATAAAATTCAAATCAATACCTGCACTATATAAAAAGTAAAATCATATTTAGATAATATAATCTCTCTATATATAATGATTAGTATCATTACCAGGACAGGATATCTCATGCAGTTTTTGAGTCAGTGGGGGCTTTGTTTTAGATTCCTCATCCAGAAGCATTGCTGCAGTGAATTCAACAAGTGCCCTATCCCAATCTTTAGTCCTCAATGGCTGCATTCAGTGCTATCACCCAGGTGAGTACTGACTTCAGATTACAAGACATAGAAATGGACAAGACTGACAGTGTACAAAAATTAGGACATTGCTGAGAGATTACCTTTGTATAACCGTCAATGACATGTTCATTGACCTGATTTGGATCATACCATGCATTTCGAACAGCAGCAATACCAAACTTATCAATAACCATCCTCACCTGTAATCAATTTGAGGCAAGCGGCTATTAGATAGGTAAACAGATCAGCCATCACGACAATTATAATGTGTTGGTTTCAGCGCTACAACTAGTTTTACAAAATAACAAATATGCCCAAAGAGTCATCCAACAAGAAAATTTCTAAAAAGACAACTGATGTGAACTGATCAGAATATCATGACATGTCATACTATGCACTTCAACTCTAAGCCAAAGGCCATGGATTCTAAATGTTGGTGAAAAGGAAAGTGCGGAATTCCAGCTCATTGGAAAAGCTCTCACGAGCTCAGCAGCAGTTGTATTTTAGCCACCAATTCCTCAGTGTTATTTGATTATAATATTAATCCAGTGATGTTTCTATCAAGAAGGTCTTAAAGTAACTAAAAGCAAATATTATATTGCATTAGGTACGAAAAAGTTTGTTACCAGCATTGTGGCAAGGGCAGTACGCAGGACAGCTGATAAAAATTTCCTATACAGAGAGTTGAGCATATTTATCATCCCCTTCATCATCTTGGTTATTGCTTCTGAAATGTATTTGGTAATCATGGACAAAAGCTTGTAAAGCCCAGAAATTGGGTTTGCTCTGATAGGAGAATCATTGTTTTCTTTCATTTCATTATCTTTCCTCACTTGATTTTTCTCAACAATTTTAGGTGCACTGAATGGGGCTAAAATTGCTGGGGCAATAAGAATTAGAGCAGCAACACGTTCAGGAGCTTCAAAATATGTATTAACTGCTACAAGTGATCCAGCTGAGTGCCTGACGTGCCATTTTGAGAAAATCTCAACTTCAACATAAAACTAAATTCTGAGCATAGCAGGGATAAGGTACAATGGAAGAAAACCAAAGCCAATAGAAGTATCACAATTTGCAGACGCAATCATACAAGAAATTGTGGAAACCCTATACTAGACTACCATCCTTGAGTGGTGAAACACAGAGTTACTAATTTAATGCTTGATACCAATAAAATCACCTTCATATTAACAAACAACTCTTCCATAAAACAACCAGGATAATTAGACAAGTAACAAATGCAAGACACGTGGACGTAGGGCAGCAATATATGATTGCTTATTCAGTTTACCAAACAGATGATTAGACATTCACATACCCCACCAGGATCACCTTGTCGGCATTTAATAGATCAATGAAGAACAAGGTAGCAAGCACTGAAAACAGCATCGAGTATGGATTTAAGGATTTTGAGACATCAGTTCCTGAAGAAAAATTCACTCGTGATGTCAATCCAAAGGCTGGCCTGTCAAAAGCAAGAACTTTTGAACCAGAAAGCCCAGCCAAATGCTTCATAACCTTTTTCCATGAGAAAACCGATGCTCCAAAGCCATGTAACAGAATCATAGGAAGACCTAGCTGCCTAGTTTTATGAGGGAACTGAGAAAGAGTCTGATTGTTGAACATGCTATGTGCTTGCGATTCCCCATCATATATCTTATGGTGTATGTGTACCCCTTTGAACTCACAAAAACAACTGTCTGGATCAGCTAAAATCTTGGGATCCACTAATTCATCCTGATCTATGCCAGCTATCCCTTTCCTTTTCTTCGTTGTTCTAATATCCAACAATTGCTCTGGTGAAAAGGGGTTCAACATAAAATGCTATAAGTAAGCGGCATTGCAACAACACACTTGTCCAAAAGAAGATAAACACTAATCAGTAATCTATCTCCAAGTACATTCTTATAATTAAATCCAAGGTAAATAAAATAAGGACGAACTTGCTTTTTCTTGATAAAAGAAGACTCCAATAACAAGGACAGAGCATACAGAAATTGAGGATAATCCATGCTCTTAAAACAAGACAGGGAACCAAATGTATAATTGACGAACGGAAAGCATAAAACACCAACTCATAAATGTCTGCAAACCTTTGCTTATCCGACAAAGATAACTGTGTTAAAAAATCCATATCATATCTTTATCGAAGATATGGATAGAAAAAATTATAAAGAACTGTAAATTTTACCCAAAAATCAATTGCTGAAATTTCAAGCATTAGACTTCAACCAATCTCGACGCGTGCTAGAAAGGTGTGTTCTTACCAGGCCTCATTGTCCTTGTCTTTTTATGGCAAAAATATGTGAGTTCGATATGCTATAATCCTAATTAGAGTATGTTTGACAGAAGACCAACAAAATGGTATTTTACATTAGTTCGGCTTGAGCTGGTAGGAAGCTGGGAACACTACAGATAAATATTTCACAAAACGCGCACAGAAATAAGAGACTTGACTAAGCAAACAGCGAGACAAGGAGCACAAATTACCGGAATATTCGGCACCTGAGCCACTGGCTGAAGAAGCGGAAGCAAATAAGGCAGACTTAAGAGTAGGATAGTCAGCATCACCCAAACCAAATTTGAGAAGAGAATGAACCAAACAAGACGGAAACTTGCGAAAAAGCGGAACAGGGGAAGGAAGCCCCGATTGCTGATGAAGCATCGCCACTTTGGTCATCTGATTGTGGGAAAACACAAACAATCAGTTATCAGACAAAAGCGTGGACGTTGATGAAGAACAGAGAAGCAGCCTGTTAGCGGGGTCCTCTCCGGTCGTCAGGCTCTACTGCCTTTATCTGCTTATACAGTACTGTACACAACCCCGTGCACCACGGCTTTGGATGAAACAATACCATGTTTCAATTTTTTTTTTTTGGCCGGAAACCATGTTTCGATTTTAATCTTGTAAAATGAACGAAAGGAAATGTAGTAGAGCAAATGAAATTATATTATGTTAAACGGGACCAAATGATGTTGAGGGAAAAAAAAAACAATTTTCGTGGATTTCCAGATTTAATTTTGAAAAAACCAAAATACTTGAAGTATGGCAATAACTTGCATATGAAAGTGTGTGTTTTTTATAGGGCTGTACAAACGACTGGACAGGACTGGACTTTAGCCTAACCGGAGTCTAGTCTTTTCATGAAAAGGACTGGGTTAGATAACCCGTAGTCCGGTCTGGTCCTGTGTGAAAACCCGGAGATTAATAAGACTGGACTTGGTCCATAGGACTGGGAGACTGGTCCTGTTAGTCCAATACCAATAATCTATTTCAACTTAACAAATTCAATTAAGATAATAAAAACACTTATAATCATAATAAATCTATAATAATTTCTAACACCAAGAAAATAATATTTTAGTTACAGTCCAAACTCCAAATGATTTAAATATATAACTTCAATAAAAAATTAAAGGAAAGATCGAAAATAGACTAGAGAAAAAAAATCAGCGAGAACAAAAGTAATAAAAATCAACCCACAGACATGTTCCTTCAAAGTTCGAACAGATCAAGATCAGAGTGCAAAGTGCAAGGCAGGGGCTAGGGCTTTAGCGCACTGAAAAATTGAGAATGAGAGCAAAGTTAAGTGAGTGACTAAGATGCTAAGTGCTGTTAAGTATTGTGTTGAGGTTTTTTTTTTCGATCAGAGTGTAAAGTGCAAGGCAGGATTAAGACTTTTTTTTTCTAAGGCTTATTAATTAATAATTTATAAATTAATTTTAATTATATTAAAATAATTATATAGGACCAAACCGGACCACTTAGTCCAGATGCTTGGTCTCTAGTCTGGTCTTACCCGAAAAATTAGTCTTGTCTTTTTAGTCTTTTTGGTCTTATAGGACCAGCATTTTACAGGACTGGACAGGACCGGGTTTTTATGGGTCGGACCGGACCGAACGAGACCACGAGACTTTTGCACAGTCCTAGTTTTTTATTTTACATTAAAAGGAGTCAACATGCGGAATAACCAAATGTGATGAGTTATAATATGTGCTAAACGTTTTTTTTGCCATTTCACCCCCAAAAAAAAGATAAATATTGTAAAAAAGTTTTAAAATAAAAATTAAATAAGATTTAAATTTTTGTTAAAAAGTATAATTTTAAAAAAATGACCATCTGCATGTGAAAAAGAAAAACCCGATACTACAAAGTGTTTTAATGCATCATTAATATTAGATCCATTTTCTAAAATGTTTAAGTTGTTCGTTAACGTTGAATGCTAATTAGAAAAGGCAATCAAATTAATAGATTGACAATTCTCTCATAAAGCTTAATTGAATTTTTTATCGAAGTAAATATTTATTGATGCCTGGAAGGGAAATAAAGAGTCTTGTCTTGGGAAAAAAAGTGTGTTTGGCCCAAAAAAATGTGTGTAGTCTGTTTCATTACTATTGACAATAAAGCATTTTGATGTCTTTCAATGTATGTAATTTTTATTTTCATTTATATTATCTGTTTTATCCTTTAATCCAAACACCACCATTTCACTTTAAGAGATTTGGGGTTTGTATAGAAAAAGTGGATCTTAAATTTTGATCCTAGTGGTCGGAGCAACTTCATGCTCTTCTAACAGGTAAGAAATTATGAGACTTGCTTAAAATTATTTTTTATTTTATTATTTTAAAGACATATGTTTTATAAAATATATTTTGAGAATAAAAAATAATAAAAATAAATTTTTTTATTATCACTTGTGCTTCAGAACAATAATTTCAAAATATTTAAAAAAAATTATTTTTTATTCTTCAAAACAATATTTATTTTTTTATTCTTTAAAATACTTTTTAAAAATATGTTATCAATTTTTTTTTTCGGTTTTGGAGTCTGCCAAACGGGCCTGTAATTTTGAAGACTGCATTTTTATTAATTATTTGTGAAATTTCAAAAAATACTCATGATTCGAAATCTTGAAGCTGTGTATAATCATTCTTACATTATTTCTTGCAAACATTGGTATCTTTTAATTTTCAAACCTGAACGTGAGATCGTCATTGCGTGTGAATGAACAGACATTCCCTACAATTATTATGAAGGTATTCTTTACTGCAAGTTCTTGAAGACTAAGATTATAATAAAGAAACTCAAAGGTAACAGGCATGCTCCCTAGCACATCGCTGTCCTCAATGTATTTGTTATAAAACACTTTTATGTTTATTTTAGCTTTTTAAAAAAAGAAAAAAGGTAAAAAAGTAAATTAACTCTTGAATTATACGTCCAAAAGTATTTAAAACTCTAAACTTATTTTCTTTATGCAATGTTTCTCTTTCAACTTTTGAAAACAATATAATCTAACCTCTATTGTTAACAAAAATTAATTTTGACTGTTAATTGATAAGAAAATGATAGAGAAAAAACCCCAAAAATTACAGAAAAGACAAAAAATTACAATAAAGGTCCAAAAATTATAGACAATAATTCAAAAAATTATAGAAAATACCAATAAAATTTTATTGATTATTTTTTATAATTTTTAGTGTCATTTTTTTGCTCAATTAACAGTTAATTTTTGTTAACAATAGAGGCTAGATTGTATCATTTTTAAAAAATAAAGAAGAATATTACACTAAAAATGAGTTTAGGGTTACAAATACTTCTAAACTTGCAATTCTGAAACTAAATTGCTCTTCTAAACTTCCAAAAATTGCTTTTAAATTGGGTAAAAAAAATCAATTTATGTTACTTCTAAATACACAAGTGTATGAGATAAATTCTAGAGTAAAATATATTGTTTAAGTTTTTTAATATGCATGGAATAATAAATTATTAAAAGGGTTAAGGATCAAAAATATTCTTGAAATGCACACAAAGGTTACAAATGACTCTAAACTTAACTATAAGTCATTTATACCCCTCCACTTCAAAAAATCATTGCTCCGTTGCTTAGGAATTAACTTATCATTATGTGGGTCCCACATATAAATTTTTTAATGTATTTTATTAAAAAATATTGCTTGTGGGCCCCACATTATTTTGTTTAATGGGTTAAAGGCAAATTTTATCCCTGAAGTATAGATGAAAGGTCACAAATGACCTTAAACTTAACTTGGGATCAATTTTATCCCTCAATCACTAAGATTTTTAAATGTATTACCCTGCTGTTTTCTCCATTTATTTTTTCTATTAATAAGACCCGTGTTAAAAATTTTTAATACTTTTATTATAAAATATTTAAGTAAGTCCTACTAGTCATTTTTTAAATATTTTTTCTCCTTCTCTCTCTGCCCCTCGCTTTCAGTCATTTGAATCAAGGTCGTGTATCGTCTAACAAGCTAAGTCCTTGTACATAAGCTCCTCAGTTGAGAGCAACGTATACTTAAAACTCAATCTATAGCTAGAGATGCAACATGCGCTTGTTGAGAGAAAAATCCTAAATAAAAAATGGGAAACATAGTGCTTAAAGGCTAACTTTACATTACAAAATACTAGTTAGATAGTTCTAGCCCAAACTCAATCTATAGCTGAATAACAACTCATACATAAGCATACATGTTGCACTTCGCACATGGCTCAAAGTAATTATAGTGTTGATCCCCTCATCTACATAGCCCATTCTTGCATATTCAAACGTAGCATGGTTGTTTTGCAAGATTTGGCTTTTATTGGTTTGAAGATTCAATCAGGTCAGCTAGTGCTTGAATGATGGCATTCCAAGATCCTTCAATCCCTTTCTCTTCCTATCAACAACAATTCCAACAACTCTTACATGACCTTGATTCAAATGACTAAAGGAGATTAGGAAGAGAGAAGGAAAGAATATTTAAAAATGATTAGCGAGACCCACTTAAATATTTTATAATAAAAATATTAAAAAAATTTAAAATGGGCCCCATTAATAAATAAAATAAATGGAGAAAACAACAAGGTAATAAATTTAAAAATCTTAGTGGTTGAAGGATAAAATTAATCCTAAATTTAGTTTAGGGTCATTTGTGATTTTTCATATATGCTTAAGGGATAAAATTGACCCTTAACCTGTTTAAAAAATAATGTGAGCCCCACAACAATATTTTATGATAAAAACATTAAAAAATTCATATACAGGACCTACATAACGATAAGTTAATGTCAAGGTAACAGAGCAATAATTTTTTTAAAATTGAGGGATATAAATGACCTATAATTGAGTTTAGGGTCATTTGTGACAGTTCGTGTGCACTTCAAAGATATTTTTAACCCTTAACCCATTATTAAATGATTCCATGCACATTGTTATTTAGACTAAAGTTTAAATTGCATTGATGAAGGTTTATAATAGACATTAAAATATCATCTATGCTTTTAACCAATGATTTAAAGATCAGACTGGACAGGCCATCACCTGGACACCTTAATGGCTCATTTCACTACTTTGAACTATCTAAAGAGTTAGACTAGGTTGAGTGGTTTAAATCTAGCTTTTGAATTGAAAGTCAAAATTATATCAAGCATCAGGGCTGTTTGAAAGGACCCAAGTGAGAAAAAAGAAAAGAAAGAGAAGGGAAGGGAAGGAAAAGGAAAAGGAAAAATTGATGAAAAAAATGTTAAAATGAAAAAGGAGACAAATATTCTAACAAAGAACCAATAACTTACTTATTAAAAAAAAAAGAACCTAGTGATGAATATATGATAAAAGGGGGGATGGCAAGAACTTACTGATAGATTGAGAGGATGGTAGGGAAGATGAGAAGGATAACTAAGTCAACAATAGAAGAGAGTTAGAAAAAGATGGATGGTTGAAACTTGAAAAAAGATTTTCACTTTCTTAACTTTACAATTATACCATATTTGTTTGATTGAAAGAAGAAACTTTAACAGAGAGGAGGGGGGAGGTTCAATCCCCTCCAATCAAATAAGGTATTAATGAGAGGAGGAGTGAGTAAA